ATGTGGGTGTTTTGGCCTCTTCCCGTTACTCATGAATGTTCTTAATGGCATCTAGAATGGTGAGTTCTTTCCAGAAGGTTTTCAGTTTAGTTTTCCCAGATCCATCAGAGAAATCACTGTCTATGGCAGCTATAGCCTTATGAAATGTATTCCTTAAATAATAAGACTTGTGCTCGCTTTGGCAGCACATATACTAAAATTAGAACGATACAGAGAAGATTAGCATGGCCCCTGCACAAGGATGACATGCAAATTCGTGAAGCGTTTCATATTTTTGATGTGGCACATCTATACGATGGAACATTACTCAGCCATAAAAAGAAACGAATTTGAGTTATTTGTAGTCAGGTCAATGGACCTAGAGTCTGTCATACAGAGTGAAGTAAGTCAGAAAGAGAAAAACAAATATGTTAACACATATATATGGAATCTAAAAAAAAAAAAAAAAGGTCATGAAGAACCTAGGGGCAAGATGGGAATAAAGAGGCAGACCTACTAGAGAATGGACTTGAGGATACATGGAGGGGGAAGGGTAAGCTGGGACAAAGTGAGAGAGTGGCATGGACATATATACACTACCAAACGTAAAATAGATAGCTAGTGGGAAGCAGCCACATAGCACAGGGAGATCAGCTCGGTGCTTTGTGACCACCTAGAGGGGTGGGATAGGGAGGTTGGGAGGGAGGGAGATGCAAGAAGGAAGAGATATGGGGACAGATGTATACGTATAACTGATTCACTTTGTTGTAAAGCAGAAACTAACACCACTGTAAAGCAATTATACTCCAATAAAGATGTTAAAAAATAAATAAATAATAAGACTAGAAAGTCTCCTTGATCCATGGGCTGCAGAATGGATGTTGTGTTAGCAGGCATGACAACAACATTCATCTCATTGTACAGTTCCATCAGAGCTCTTTGGATAACCAGATTTACTGTCAATGAGCAGAAATTTTATTTTATTTTATTTTATTTTGGCCAAGCCACATGGCTTATGGGATCCTAGTTCCCCGACCAGGGACTGAACCTGGGCCCACAGCAGTGAAAGCACCAAGTCTTAACCACTGGACTGCCAGGGAATTCCCAGCAGTAATATTTTGAAAGATTTTTTTTTTTCCTGAGTAGTAGGTCTCAACAGTAGGCTTAAAATATTCAGTAAACAGATGATCTGTTGTCTAGGCTTTGTTGTTCCATTTACAGAGCACAGGCAGAGTAGATTTAGCATAATTCTTAAGGGCCCTGGGATTTTCAGAATGGTAAATAAATATTGGCTTCAACTTCAAGTCACCAACTGCATGAGCCCCTAAAAAGAGTCAGCCTGTCCTTTGGAGTTTTGAAGCCAGGCATTGACTTCTCCTCTCCAGCTATGAAAGTCCCAGATGGCATCTTCTTTCAATAGAAGGCTGTTTCACTTACATTGAAGATCTGTTGTTTCATATAGCCACTGTCATTAATTATCTTAGTTAAATCTTCTGGATAACTTGCTGCAGCTTCTATATCAGCACTTGCTGCTTCACTTTGCACTTTATTGTTATGCAGACATGGCTTCTTTCCTTAAACCTCATGAACCAACCTCTGCTGGCTTCAAAATGTTCTTCTGCGGCTTCCTCGTCTCTCTCAGCCTTCATAGAATTGAAGAGAGTTAGGGCCTTGCTCTGGATTAGGCTTTGGTTCAAGGGAATGTTGTGGCTGGTTTGATCCTCCATCCAGACCGCTTACACTTGTCTCCGTAGCAGCAAGACAGCTGTTTTGCTTTCTTCTCCTCCATGTATCCACTGGAGTAGCACTTTTAATTTCCTTCAAGAACTTCTCTTTTTTTGCATTCATAACTTGGCTGTTTGGTACAAGAGGCCTAGTTTTTGACCTATCTTGGCCTTTTGACATGGCTTCCTCACTAAGCTTCATCCTTTCTACATTTTGATTTAAAGTGAGAGACATGCAACTCTTCCTTTCACTTGAACACTTAGAGGCCATTGCAAGGTTATTAATTGGCCTGATTTCAATAATTTTGTGTCTCAGGCAATAGGGAGGCCCAAGAAAAGGGAGAGAGATGAGGGAAAGGCCAGTGAGTGGAGTAATCACATCAGACACAACATTTGCTGATTAAGTTCACTGTCTTATGTGGGTGTGGTTTGTGGCATCCCAAAACAAAGACAATAATAACCTCAAAGATCACTGATTACAGATCACCAAAACAAATATAATAATAATGAAAAAGTTTGATGGACTGTGAGAATTACCAAAACGTGACACAGAGACACAAAGTGAGCAAATTCTGTGGGAAAAATGGTGCCGATGGATTTGCTCAACGCAGGGTTGCCTTCAACTTTCAATTTGTAAATAACTGTACTGTGAAGCTCAGTAAGGCAAAGGGCAACAAAACAAGGTGTATCTGAATTCACATTATGAAGGACATTATGCAGATATGATAAAACATTTCTACGTGCATCACTGATCATTTCCTCGGTATATATTCCAAAAAGATACCAGGGTCTAAACATTTTTAAGATGCTTCACAACTGCTTCTAGAAAAGAGAGACATTTCACAGAGAGAAAAGTCAGCAAAAAGGGGGATTCTACTGTAGGAAATGGAACAAACAAAATGAGCAAAAAACCCAGACACCTGCCACTGAAAGGGGAAGCAAATGGAGAAGGTGGATATTGCGCTTTGTGCACAGAAGCTGTGTCCCCAGGTGGACACGCCCTCTAGGATGGAACTCCAGACACTTCCATACCCGTTTCTTATTGACTTTTCCTAAGTGAAGGCCGTCCCCATTCTCCATCTGCATAGTGTCACCCTCATCACTCGGTCCCCAAATGCCTCACCACCATCGCTGAATACCAAGCAGGTTAAAAGGAGAGAGGGACACCCTCCCCCTTGACATTCCTGATGTCCCTTCTGCTCACAGGAAGAACCTGTAAGTGGTCACTTGGCCACTCCAGCTGTAAGGGAGCCTTGGAAATGTACTCATAATTCTTGGCAGCCACGGGTCGGGCTCAAAGTTCTATTGCTGTGAAAAAGATGAAGAATAAATATTTGGGACACTAAAGGTCCATTACAGGAACAGAAACAAACCTGGTAATGAAACAAAGCCAAGCAAATGATGCCTTGTCGTCAGTTTCTGGGTAGGAGGTGCTGTCTGTTCTCATACTCAGTAATCTTATATGTATTACAGTGTATAGAGAGCACAAGTGCATGAAGAATTCTTTCTTATTGGATTAGGGAAGAAAATCCCTTTAATACCTGCAATGAGGAAGGAATTGCACTTTCTTGAAATGACGTTTAAAACAAAACAAAAATGCCCTCCTCTTCCTCTGAAAGCACTTTGACCACAAATTCACACCTTTTCACTTCTTTAACCCCAAATCCCCTCCTGTACAAAAGCCTCATTGGGGGAGTCCCTTCAGAAAAACCAACACACACTGTGACAACAGCATAGGTTAGAAAATCACAGCAAGTTTATTCATTGGCAAGAGACATAAAGAAAGCATTAAATGTTTGTGTTTCTAGGCTGCCAGCATAAACTTTTCAAAGTGTTTAAGTGAATAACACCAGTAGCATAATTAGATATCACATCTTAAAGAACCCAAACACAATTTATCAGCTTTAAAAAATATTTTCAACTGAAATTACATCTTTACATAGGTACATATATTATGTATAAACCACCTATAGTTGTTTTGAAAAATAATATGATAGAGTTAATAGAAACTATATTATAATTTAGGAGTCCATGTGATAAACCTGTTAATGCCATAAATTTAATTATTTTGGGGAAATGTCTTCTTTAGACATTTCCCTAAAATAATTCACAGATTCAATCTATCTTAGAACTGGAAGGAATTTTAAGTAATCACCTGGTTCAGTCAACTCCTTAAGACAAATGAAGAATCCCTATCACTTTTTAGATCAAATTACATGATGCTAAATGACTCATCCAAAGCCCCGTAACTATTAAGTTTCCTCTTTTCTCAGCTCTTTTTTTTTCTAGCCAAACAGATCTCAACACTGATTTCATGTGTAACCCATAAGACATTCAAGTGCAAGATAATTCACTGAGAAATCCCATTCCAGGATCCACTGTGCTTACTCAGTAAGATAAATTAAACCTGTCTGATGAAAATACACAACAAGCATTGCGTTCAGCTTCTTGTCTTCAATTCTGATTAGTAAAGCACAGTCCCTACACTGAGGACAAACAAGACATAAACAGCAGTATAAGTACGTTGCTGGATTCGCTACGTTTAATGCATCTACTTCAGTGCAAAACACTCATTCTATCCAAAGCCATGTTTTCAGAGGAAAGAAGAGGAAAGTAAATAAGCAGAATAGAATCCAAGGACTGTTGGTATATTTGTATTCAGAGCATCTTGGGTTGGCCTCTCAGGGGCTGTAAGCCTCAGACACAAGTCAGATGCCTTCTTGGTCAGTGTCCCCCACCCACAAGATGCGTCTGTGGGAGGGTCTTCCGACAACCGGGACACACAGACACGTTCTTCAGGAGTGGTTGGCTCTAAGAATCGGGGCTGAGCTCACAAAGACGGAGTGTGGCTGGACTGGGAGGAAACCAGCTCTGAGCACATCCCCAAGATCTCACCCAGGAGCCGGCAGTGCAGGCGCAGGAGAGGCTGGAGGAGCTTCTGTTGATCTGGAAGGTCTTCTCGGTTGCTTCTGTCCACCTCATGCTTTCTAGGGGAGACAAACCTTGGAAGGATTTGGTAGGGGTGTAGTTGAAAATCTGTTCCAAGAAAACGTTTGTTATACTTGGCAGAAAGCGATCACCGTCTCTCACTGGAATGTGCCCAGTCTCAGTCCCGATGGGTCCATCGGGCAGAAGTGAGAACAGTGGTTCAGGTAAAATTGAAATGTCCCACCTTCTGCCACACAACAAGCTCATGCAACTGAAATCCGGGAAAACTGCATAACCAGTCGTGGGCTTAGATGTATCAAACAACATCAAATCTAGTAAAATGTGTCTCCTGGCCCAGAGGAACTACAATTAATTGCAATTATTTTGGATCTCGCTTAACACCATCTGGAGGACCCTTTCTCTTGAAGGGCTGGCATCAACCACGTGGCAGCCAGGGTTCTCCATCCGCTGGTAGGACACTTCTATCCTGGAGACAGGCAGAATGAAAAGAGTTGGCCCATTTGTTAACATGGCTCTTGACGCAAATGTTATTTTCCTACCATAATATAGACAGCTTGAAGCCAGGTCCCCATCTGGTTTATCGCACTTCCGCCCCCCAGGCAACTCGCTTTGCATACAGGAGACATTCGATACATTTATTTTAATAAATGAGAAATTAATAATAATGTTTAATAGCTTGCATTTACTCAAAACCTTTTATCTGCCAAGCATTAGCATCCTGCACGGTCTTCTCATTTCATATTCAGAGTAACTGCAGGAGGAGAATCAATGTCATCCACCCCCATTTTGCCAAGAAAGGAGCAAAGGCTCAAAGAGATTAACTAAGTTGCCCAATGGCAAATTTCTCCAGAGTCCGCGCCCTGAAGGATTTCACACGAGCCAGAGGTCCTTGGCATATACATTGTTTTCACTTAGGAGCCTTCCACAGTCGCACTAGAATTCTACCTCTCCTTCCAGTGTTAGCTAGCCTTGGTGTGTACAGAATAGCCAGGGCTGATTTGAAACTGGAGGGAAGTGGGCAGGGCACAGCCTTTGAAAGAATGACATAGCCCGAGGACATGACATAAACTGATTAGAACCAAATGGGCCCAAGATGGCGGACAAGTCAAGTTCCACTGGACTTCGGTATACGCTCACTGTGACAAATCAGCAGGCTAAATGACACACCCACAGGCACCATGACAGTTCCAAAGTCTACCATAAGGATCAAAAAGCGGGTAGTGGCCCAGCTCCTGGAAATCCCCGGCCCCTCCTGAAATAGGTGGAATACTCCTCCCACTCAGCCTATGAAATCACCCACCCCTATAAAAACTGACAACCCTAGGGCTTCCCTGGTGGCGCAGGGGTTGAGAGTCCGCCTGCCGACGCAGGGGACACGGGTTCGTGCCCCGGTCCGGGAAGATCCCACATGCCGCGGAGCGGCTGGGCCCGTGAGCCATGGCCTCTGAGCCTGCGCGTCCGAGCCTGTGCTCCGCAACGGGAGAGGCCACAACAGTGGGAGGCCCGCGTACCGCAAAAAAAAAACAAAAAAACAAAAAAAAACTGACAACCCCATATCCTGGTGTCTTTCTCACCTTCTGAGATGGCGCACAGTTTGACTGTGAAGTGTGTTTCTCTCTAAATAAATCCACTTCTTACCTATCACTCTGTCACTGAATTCTTTCTGTGATGAGACATCAAGAACCTGAGCTTCATTAACACACCTGGTTTCAGGTGTGTGATCTCAGTTGGAGACTGTGCGTTTTGTCCGGGTTCGAGTCCCAGCCTCTTGGGTTCAAATCCTAATCTGAGGTTTACGGTTTCAGATTATATGACCAAAGCGCTAGAGCTTTGTGGTTAAAATAAGCACCCGGACTCAGCCATATAAAAGAATGAAATAATGCCATTTGCAGCGACATGGATGGGCCTAGAGATTGTTACACTGAGGGAAGTCAGACAGAGAAAGACAAATACCATATGATATCGCTTCTATGTGGAATCTAAAATAAAAAAATGGTACAAATGAACCTACTTACAAAACAGAAATAGACTCACAGATGTAGAAAAGAAACTTATAGTTACCAGTGGGTAAGGGGTGGGAGGGATAAACTGGGAGATTGGGAGTGACATATACACACTACTATATATAAAACAGATAATTAATAAGAGCCTACTGTATAGCACAGGGAACTCTACTCAATGCTCTGTAATGACCTATATGGGAACAGAATCTAAAAAAGAGTGGATATACGTATATGTATAACTGATTCAGTTTGCTGTACAGCAGAAACTAACACAACATTGTAAATCAACTATACTCCAATAAAAATTATTTAAAAAAAAAAAGTGCTCAGAGTAGATGGTGAGAAATGGAATATTTCCCGCCATTATCAGTAAACAAAGGATGTCCCAGTCATCAGCGATTGCAGCCACCACGGCTGGTGAGCTGGTGAACCTTGAGGAAACTCAGGATGGGAAAGCACAGGATACTGGCCCCAAATAGCTGAGGTGCTTTCAAAGGAACGATTTCAGTGACCCCAAACTCTTGCATCTTCCCATACACAGAAAAACGCTAAATTCCTTAACTTGACTTATCTGGTTTTCTTTAATTAACAATAATCTTCTGACGTTCAGACTACCTGTCCTTTGTTGCAAAACTCTTATGTGTCCTACGTCTCCTGCCACCTCCTCGGAGCAGTTCTCTCAGGGTTACTTGAGATGCTGCCTCCCGGGCTTGAAGTCCTAAAAATTCCCACCAAATAAAACATAACTCTCAACTTTTAGGCTGTGAATATATTTTTTTAACATCTTTACTGGGGTATAATTGCTTTACAATGGTGCGTAGTTTCTGCTTTATAACAAAGTGAATCAGTTATACATATACATATGTTCCCATATCTCTTCCCTCTTGCGTCTCCCTCCCTCCCACCCTCTCTATCCCACCCCTCCAGGTAGTCACAAAGAACCACAGATATCCCTGTGCCATGCGGCTGCTTCCCACCAGCTATCTACCTTATGTTTGTTAGTGTATATATGTCCATGCCTCTCTCTCGCCCTATCACATAGGCTGTGAATATTTTTTAGTCGACAATGGTCTGGGGCCATAGCTCTGCCTCACCACCTACCAGCTAGGAGAACATGCCACATTTCTTTCCTACCTGTGCCTCAGTTTCCTCATCTGTGAAGCAAGGATGGAAATAATGCCTTCCTTGCAAGTTTGTTGTGAAGTTTAACTGAATTAATAACAACCAGTCAATCCTTTGACATGGTTTCTCTGCACACAGCTGAGTGGTTAATTATTTATGTTATAACAGCATTAAGTTAGGATAACAGTGCTATCACTGTTTATTTATATAAACAATTGTGTTTTGGCTTTTCAAACCAGTCTTAGAGAAGTGATTTAGTCAGCCAGTGAAGCAGTAAGATGGTTTGGACACCCCTGCTATTGTGTTCATAGCTTTCTAATGAAAATGAAAGGACTGCCTTAAAATCAGAAAGGTCTTGAGTTTAAACCCAGTTCCACTGCTCAGTAGATATGCAAGTTGTAGACAAATCACTTAATCCTTTGAGCCTCAGTTTTATAAACTGTGAAGCACAGCTATCACTGTCCTTGCAAGGGTTACAGAGCATCAGAAGGAAAATGCCTGACACACAGTGAGCCCCTAACAGGTAAAAGTCACTGTGAGGCCGTCAGACAGTGCTTGTGACCATTCTGTTACGATGACCCAGAAAAGTGTATTGTCTCACTCAGGTTCACGCTGGTGCTGGCACAGCCAGGACTAGAAAGACCAGGAAGGAGGTCTGATCCCCAGTCAGATATCCTGTGGCTATAAAACCACCACGCAGTGGCCCCATGAACAATCCCATTGAAAGGAGTGAATCTAACTTGGAGGATACTGCCTCTCAGGTTTGGAAAATGGGAACCGTGTCATGTCCTCCACTTTACCAGAGTCAGTGCTGTTTCTGGATCGTCGCCACAGCCAGGGACCCCTGCCCCTCACATGGCATCGGGACACCTACTTTTGACGAAATATGCTGTTGGCCTCCAGTTCAGCCTCCTCCTTGGTCCTCTCCATGCCCCGGCCCTCGATCCTCTGCATCCTCTCCTCGGGACTCACGGTGAGCAATAGGACCAGGTCGGGTTTGAGCAGGTCCCTGGGCCACTGGTATACAGGGTGATGGGCAGGAGGCAGGTGCTGGAGGCCCCCACTTACCTCAGTGGCTATGGCGTAGGTGGCCGTGCTGTGCCAGTACCTGAGAAGGAAAGCGGTAGTGAGTTCCCCATCCGCAGAGGAAGTCAAAGGAGCACCTGAAAACCAGCTGCTGAGGACGTTGAAACCAGAGATGGCGCTGCTGAACTTGTTCTAGTACTGTACACAAAAGAGGTAAAACTAAATCTTACTTTTTAAAGTATTTATAAAATGTAAAAATAAGTTAAAATCAACAACCACAATAAGAATCCAGTGCACACCACCCAAAGCTCCATTTACTCAGTTAAAACTGCATGTATTGTGAGACTATGTTGCCTTGGCCTTGTAGGATGCTTTCTTTTGTGATGGCAGGTTGGCATGGGATGGTAGATTAGTTCGGTAGTCCACTGGTATTTAATGCTGTATCTTGGCCAAACAAATATCTGCAGGTCCATTCAGTTCCTACAATGTTTTAAAACTGAACTTGCTGAACTTCCCTGGTGGCGCAGTGGTTGAGAGTCCGCCTGCCGATGCAGGGGACACGGGTTCGTGCCCCGGTCCGGGAAGATCCCACATGCTGCAGAGTGGCTGGGCGCGCACGGCGATGAAGAGTGGCCCCCGCTCGCCGCAACCAGAGAAAGCCCTCGCACAGAAACGAAGACCC